AGCCACAGTGACTTTATTATATTATAATATATTACATTAATAATAATATTATATATAAATAATAATGTATTATATTATAATAAAGGCTAGGGATAGCCCCCTAGCCTTGGAGAATTTAGAAATACCTCATTTTCCCTCTGTTTGGCGGCTATTCTCTCAAACCTCGATTTAGGGAGATTGCCCTGTCTGACATAAAGCTTACTTAATTCGACCAGAAAATTTGACTTTGTCACCCACGGACGCAGATGGCAGAAATGCCTACAGAGGGAGAAGGGATGCGGCCTCTTAGAGGTGCAGAATTGGGTGGAAATGACCTCGGTAGTTCATTAGGGAAACTGGGAGGTACAGTCTTCTGACAGGAAACTACCCGTGTTTTTGGTCACTTTTGCTAAAAGGTGGTTGACTGTTACATCTCTCGACAGATGGCTAACTTCGGGTGGGGTGGGAGACCATAGCACACGCTAGTGTAGAAAGGTCAGAGAGAGGGGCTGGCAAGTTTGTACGTAGCGGAGCTGTGGGATGCCCAGGGTGAGTTCAGCTGAACATGGCTTGTGGGGTGCAACCGGGTAGAATCAGGCGGCAAGGTCCCTTCTGAGCATGCTCCTGGGAAAAATTGGCACAATAACAAAGAGACCTCGTTATCTAATCAGACAATATATGGTATGAGCTGAGGCATCTCCGAGTCCACGTGAACAGATGTCAGAAGATTGTTCATCTGTAGGTTGCAGGTTTGACAATTATGTGACTTCCCTGGGAAGCTTTGGACAATACACTGTTTCAGTTCCCCATCCGCCATCCCTTCGTTGATTCGCCTGCCTGCAGACCCATTCTGCTTCCTGTCTGTCAGGAGAAAATCAGATTGCTTGCTGTTTCCATGAGCCCCAAACCTATCCCAAGTGAACCACCTTTTATTTGCCCTCTTTCTGGTATATTTTACTTCTCTTTTCCTAGGCACCTGTTCTCCACTTGAGAAACACCACCAATCCTTTCCCCTCCCTCTGCCCCCCACCATTCTGAGTGTACTCAGCACTCCAGCGGACCTACCAAAGGTTTTCATCCATAAGTTCTATAACCATTGGGATTTAATTTTTCAGAAACAACAAACTAGAAAAAAACTATACCAAACATATACAGACTTTTTTCTTCTTTTGAGCCCCAAAGCAATACAATGTTCTCAGCGTCATTGGTGATGTGGAGTGCAGAGGAGGAGTGTGGGCTCTGTACGGTGTCCTGTCATATAAAGACTCCCGCGTCCTAGGGTAGGTCCCCCTCTAAGTCTGGCAGATGCTGTGTTGCCTGTCCACACTTCTCCCTAGGCTGATGCTTCCTAGGCTCCATCATCAATTACTGAAGCTATCTTTCTGGAAATTCTCTTCCCTTGGTTTCCCTAGAGTCACTTTTTTTTTTTTTAAGTTTTCTTACATTTATCCCTTTGTGTTTCAGTCATTGTTGGTGTCTGTCCAGCCTTTGTCCTCTCCATATTGTCAGCCTTATCCAGGCAGCCACCCTGCCACTCCTGGAACTTCTCATTTTCCGTAAAAATGTGCCTGGATTTGTTCAAAAAGAACCTTAAACTCAGTCTGGACAGACTTTTGTGAGTAAATAGAATTACCAGTGAGTAAATAGAATTGTCCCTTCCTCCTCTGCTTCCCAGCCCGGAATATCTACCCCTGAATGGCCGGCCTTTCACGTGTCCCCACTCATTACTCTCCCAGGCCTACTGTGGTGAATCCAAGTGTAAGGGAAAAGGGTCAGCCAAAGAAACACACCCTGAACAGAGCCAAAGAAACACACTTTGGCCCTGCAAACAGAACCAAAGAAATGCACCCTGACCCTGAAACCAGTGCCAAAGAAACTCACTTCGTCCCTGGAATCAGAACCAGTGAAAGAAATATACCCTGGGCCTAAAATTAGAGCCAAAAGTCTAAAAAGAACCAGTGAAAGACACACACTTTGGCCCTGAAACCAGAGCCAAATCTGACCCTAAAACTGCAGAAAACCAACCAATCCCTTAACAGGATATCTAGCCATTCTGAGCTCAGGGATTGAAATCTGACCAGTCCCCACCCTGGAAATCTCCTTGGAAAAACTCCGCCCCTAAGAAGCCCTATATAAGCCCTGTGCCTGTTCAGCTTCTGGCTGTCAGGCTGCTCGGCTGTCCTCTGCCACCTTGGCAGAGAGCAGCCACTCTCCCAGATTCTTCCCTCCCAATAAATCTCTTGAATGAGGTTTGGGTGAGACCTTTTGCTGGAGCAGAGCAGGGCTGTGACACTTTTGGCAGGGAAACCTTCCCCTGGTGAGATGGAGTTACACTCCTGCTCTCTGGGGGACTAGAGCCAAACTGTAACAACTTTGCTGGGAAACCCTCTCCTGCCGGAGTGGAGCTGTTGCATCAGGAAGCCCTTCTCTGGAGCTGGGGAAGCTCTGTCCTACTGATACACTGGGGAAGCCTTTCCTTGAAGCAGGGCTGTAAGCTGCTGTGGTTATTGTGATCTGTGGTATTCCTTGGCTCCCGATTGCCAGAATAGCTTTCTATCCGAGCTGTAACACTCACTATTCTTTGGCTCCCAAGTGCCAGGATACCTTTCCATCCTGCCCATCCTATCCCATCCACCTTTGAAATGCTTTTCTCCCCCCCCTTTTTTCTTTTTCTTTTTCTTTTTCTTTTTTTTTCTTTTGGTGTTGCTGAGGATTGAACAATGCCAGGTAAAAGGTTTGCTGCTAATATCTCCAGGTCATCATTTCTAACTTTTCTTGAGCTTGTCAACCAGACATTCACTCTTGTACTTATTTTTTTCGTGCTGTAAATTAAACCCAGGGCATTGCATATACCAGGCAACTATCAGCCACTGAGTTATACCAACTCCCTCTTTTACTACTTTTTTCTTCAAAAAATGCATCGTTCAGGCTAGCCTATAACTGAGCTCCTTCCCCCTCTGCCTCCCAAATGCTCCAGTTACAGGCATTCTGTGATTTCAAGCATGAAAAAGTGAAGCAAGGCACCATGAGGCAAGGAGGCTTTCCAGGAGGTGCTTCGGACTAAAGATGTATGGAGTCTCTCACTCGAACAGCTTGGGTTCTGTCTTGTAAGGAGTTGTCAGCCTTGGATTATTTTATCAGGAGATTCAATCCTTAACAATTACAGTTGCAGGCATGTGCTACCATTCCCACTACCCATATGTGTGTGTGTCTTGAGGGTCATGCTGGGTCATTGTATTTCATGCTTTTTTTTTTTTTGGCGCAGGATGGGAGGGGGTAAACACCTATATAGGACTAGGAATTGCAAACAGAACAGGATTTGTGCCCCAGTGGCTCATAAGTCTGTGGATGGAGGTTTTGTGGTGAACTCTATGCTGCAACTCTGACAGGCAGATTTGTTCCTTTGTAGACTTCTGTTGGCACTGTTGCCTGGTTTTAATGCCTGTGCTGTCTTCATTGACAGCGTCTGGAGGCTTGGACTAGTAGTCTGGGTTGCAGGTTCTTTGGTCACTTCCGGCATTCAGGAATAGCTCTGGGCCAAGGATAGCCTTTTGCGCTCATTTATAGTTTTGCTCAGTTCTTGTACACATGTCACCTCTCATGGACCTTCATTCATTGTGGTGACTGAGTTTTATGCGACAAGCTCAAAGCCATTGACTCTTAGAGCCTTCTTCCAGGAGTGTGTAAGAGCTATCTCAGGTGGCTTATCTGTTTCCTCTTAGAGACTGCCCTGCCATCTCCAGTCATCTGTGGAGTTTGACACCCTGCTGTATCAGTGCAGGCTTTTGCTCTTAATCTTCCTGTGCAGCACCGTCCTCTGCGATGGAATCTGGGTGCTCACAGTATGTTGTTTTCCTCTGAGTCTTTTCTCTTCCAGGATAACACTTCCTGGCTCACCAGCCTCTTTTCTGTCTTTTTCTTTTCTTTCATCCTGTGTGCCCTGACTTCTTGACCTAATGTCCAGGGACCTGATCAAGGAGGAAAGGAGCTGAGGACATACCCAGGTGTTAGGCTGAGCATCTGGGAGGCTGGGCATCCCTGTAGCAGAAAGAGTGACAGGCTCTGAAGAAAGAGTTGTTAACCTTGGTCTGATGGTGGTTGATTAGCAGAACATACTGGAGACAGTCCAGCAATGGGGCCCTTGGAGGCAGCCTAGAGGAATATCGAGTAAGGGGTACTTAGAGGCAGACTCCTTCTAACAATGATGTCACACACGTGGGTCACTGTCCCACAGCCACTGATGACATGCTTGCTCGCCCCCCCCCCATTTTAAGAGCTGTATTAGGCACTCCTGCTCCTTGCTCAAAAATGCCTTCCTGGGCTTCTTCACCGCCCCCAGCTGCCCTTTTGGACTGTGATGCCAGACCTTCAGTAGCACTGTGCTGTCCAGCGCACAGTGATCCTTGTCTTCCTGCTGACCCGAGAGGCGATGCTGAAGCAGAAGAGCTGGTTGAGGTGGGGGTAGGGGTTGCCTGGAGTTGGAGCAACAGTGTGAAACCAGCTCACTGTAGCTTCTCTGTTAACCTCCAGCCTGCCCTACCTCCCTTGACTTCAGTTTCCTCTGTACCTAGGTCTAAATTCCTACCTGCCCCCTAGGCCTTATAGCTCTAGCCAGAGGTACAAGTTAGTCTGCATATTCTGGATGCCATTTTAATTTTAGGAAAATGGAAATAGCATTTTTGAGTGAATGAAAGAAGTTACAGCACGTTCTCATTGGGTCTTCATTTCTGGAAGGTGGCAATTACCCATTGTCTATTTAAAATAAATCTATGCCAGGAGTGGTGGTGTAACCCTGTAATCCTGGTTCTTAGGAGTGGCGTGGGATGGAGGAGAGCAGGAGGATTAAGAATTCATAGCCAGCTTGGGTCACTTGAGACCCTGTCTCCAAAAATCAACAAACCAACCAGTCAATAAAAAGAAATTAACTTTCAAAACAGAACCCCTTAGGGTTAATAAAGATATATCATAATAGTTACTAGAAAAGTCAAGTATCAATATTTGTTTTGAAGTCCAGATTAGAGCCAAACTGGTAATATGGTCCTGAGCCTCATATAGTATAGTTGTGACCAGTGGAGTGAGCCAGAGCCACTTCCCCCAGGTTGGGGCTGTGTCCTGCTCTGTTGCTTAGATGATCTTAGGCCTCACCTATCTCTTGGCCATTAGCTCTGGGAATCAAGGCTGGTGAGTCTGGCATTTGTGGGGGCTTCTGCAAACACAATGGCCAGAGAGTATCTACCCATGTGAGGCAAGAAGAAAGTCTGATTTAACATGATTGATTCAGTAGCTGGTGTTGGTTCAAGCCTCTTAGAGTCTGACACCAGGCAGTTTATTTTAGACATTTTTAAGTATAGTGCAATTTGGAAAAAGGTTTCCTGGTGTAACAATCCCATATATACAATAAAGTTTAGGGCATATTTACATTGAAATGCTTTTCAAAGTACATGTCACCTCTCCCATAAAGATTGCTTCTATAGATAGACTCCATGCGTCATCTTAAGGGCCCAGGAGAAGATCTGGGTGATCTTGGTCACGCAGATCTCGCAGAGGTTGCCTAGGCTGTTAACCACCTCCATTCCCAGCCCTCTGAGTGTAAAACAGAGATGCCTCTCTCTCTCTGAAGAGACAAACCTGTGTGTTTAATATTCCTGATTTCTTTGAGCACAAGGATTTCATGCCCTCTGCATGGCATCCTGCTCTTTCCTGCGTAACAGCACACATGCTCAGGGGAGGCTGGCCTGACTGTCGCTCTCTCTATAGGGCCCAAGCAGAGATGAGGGAGAGCAGCCTGCTGATTCCCAGAGACACCACATCCCTGTGACTATAGCAGCACTGCCAGGGCCAGGCCACCTGAATCATCTTCAGTATCATGGAGCCTTCTGGAGAGAAGCCAGGAGAAGCTGAGGGGCTGAGCATCACACCCCAGCTGCTGAAGTCCCGCTCTGGAGAGTTTGCCCTTGATTCCATCCTGTTGCTGAAACTCCGGGGTTTAGGGTTGGTGGACTTGGGCTGTTTGGGGGAGTGCCTGAGCCTTGAGTGGCTTGACCTGTCGGGTAATGCACTTACCCACCTGGGTCCACTAGCACCCCTGAACCAGCTGGCCGTGCTCAACGTCTCCAATAATCGGCTGACTGGGCTGGAGCCATTGGCTGCCTGTGAAAACCTGCAGAGCCTCAATGTTGCTGGTAACCTGCTGGCCACTCCTGGCCAGCTGCAGTGTCTGGCTGGGCTACAGGGCCTGGAGTACCTGAGGCTCCGGGACCCTTTGGCCCGGCTCAGCAACCCACTGTGTGCCACTCCCTCCTACTGGGCTGTGGTTCGAGAGCTGCTGCCTGGTCTCAAAGTCATAGATGGAGAACGTGTGAGTGGGCGGGGCAGTGATCTGTACCAGTTGTGCCGAGACCTGGACAGTTCCTTGCGCCGCAGCTCCAGCCCAGGCCCCATAGCCATAGAGGCCCAGCTATGGGTGGATCCTGACTACTGGGAATCCTGCCCTATGCAGAGCAGCTCCATTCTGGAAGAGGCCTGCCGGCAGTTCCAGGACACACTGCAGGAATGCCTTGACCTGGACCGCCAGGCCGGTGATAGCTTGGCCCAGGCCCAGCAGGCTCTGAGCGCTGCAGAAGCCACCTCCTCTGTTGTCTTCTGAAGGTGCCTCATAGCCCAGGTTTTCTCATCGTAGGGCGGTTGCCTACATCCCTTTCCTGCCCCATGCCCCTGCCTCTCTGGTTTTCTCTGGTCTCTTTGATGAGAGCATCCTAACTCCTACCCCACTCCTCCCCAAGGACATGTCGTGCCTTCCTTCCACACAAGCAGGGACATGCTTTCCGAGTGGCCTCTCGCAGGCATAGGAGGGTCTCTCACTATCTGGCAAATACTGCAGCCAGGCCCAGGGCATCCTGAGGCTGGGCTCTCCCAAGTGCCAAGCCTGAGGCTTTGTAGGTAAAGCTACTTGCCCCTGCTAACTCTGATTAAATGGTTCTCTGCTCATTTGCAGCATTTCTTGTCTCTTGTTCAGCAAAAATGCGGACTTCCATACCTCTGCTTTGGTCCTGTAGGAGACTCCTGCACTCACCTTCCCTGCTCCTTGCTGGTACGAGGCAGGAAGTGTGTGTGGGGGAGGGGGGCGGGTGACACACACACCATCCAGTCTTTGAGCTTTTCTTCTGTGTACAGTTGAGGGAAGAACAACACGAGGTTGGAAAGGAACAGACTCAGCAATTTTATTAGTGTGGAGTATGAAGTCTTTGGGAGTCAGTCAGTCCCGGTGCGTCCACTGGGCACTGCCACAGCTGCACAGGGAGATGGAGGTCTGGAGAAGAAGGGAGACCCAGACTGGGTATAAGGAGGATGTTTGGGTCTACTCTTAGCTTTCTTCAAGTTTCACATACCCCTCCTCTGCCTCCCTCAGCCCAATTTTCATGCCAAGGGCTCTGTCTCCGCTAATAACCTACCAACCTACCTGTCCAGGGCTTATTTGTGTTTCAGGGCCCTGGAGAAGGCAAACTGTCCAGGGAAGAAGTGGCTGCGGGGGTCCTCGCCAGCCTGTGTTATCCTATTGCACTGGGACTCCTGAGGCTCCTCCTGTTGGAACCGGTATCTGTTCCAGGAATGCCTGGGAGGAGAGGCGCGACCACAACCCCCAGGGGAATGTCTCAGCCACCCCTGCCTGCACCACTCTCCTTTCCAGAATCCCTTCTTACCTGAAGTCCTTGCTTCAGTATTGGGCAGTGGACCATCCGGCCCAGAACTTTACCCCTGGGGTCCAATTTGATGCACGCCAGGCATTTCCGCTTTCTCTGGGAGGAGAGTATGAGAGGAGGAAAGAGGAGTGAAGGGATCATGAGGGTCAGGGCGGGGACTGGCCTACTTGGCATTCTCTAGAGTGAAGAGATACAGTGGTTTGAATAAGAATATCCCCATAGGTTCAGATATTGAATACTCAGTCTTCAGTTGGTGGCTGCTTCAGGGGCTCTGGGGTTGGCTTGATGGAGGAAGTGCATCACTAGGGCAGGCTTTGAGAGTTTAAAGCCTTATACCACTCCCAGTTCACTCTTTCTGCGTCCTGCTTGCTTTTGAACACGTGAGCTCTCAGCTTCTTTCTCTGACTGCCATGCTTGCTGGTAGCCACGTCTCCCTGCCTCTCTGACATGATGGACTTTTAGCCCTTTGGAACCATAAAACAAAATAAACCTTCCTACTATTAGTCTGTTTTGGTCATGGTATTTTATCACAGTAACAGAAATATAATTAATCCGAGGGGCAAGGGGAATATGCAAGCCAGATGGACACGCAGCTTACCCTGGGATAGGAGATTTTTAGAAGTTCTCTTCTTTGGACATGGTCTTAAGAAGTAGCCCAGGCTGGTTTAGAGCTTGTGGTTCACCTGCTTTTACTTCCCCAGTGCTACCCTGCCTTGCCTGCAGACTGTAGTACTTGTTCAGGGATCATTCCTGTGTGAGCATGCTTGCGTGTATGTGTGTGTGTGTTGTGTCTGATAAGGACATTTGGACGTCCTGCTATATCATTCTGCTTTATTCCCTTGAGACAAAATCTCTCACTGAATCCAGAATTAGGCTGGCAGCCAGCAAGCCTTGAGTATCCTCGTGCCTCTGCCCACTATTGTGCAGAAGTTATAGGCATCTGTAGCCATGCCCAGCTGTTTTCATATGGGTGCTGGGGATTCAAACTTGGGTCCTCAGGCTTGCAAAGCAAGGCCCCTTACCACCTTGTCCTCATATTTACATTTCCCCCTTAAGATTTAATTTGAATAAAAGATCCTGGAACCAAGATTTTATAAATCACCAGTTAAACCCAGTTTCTTCCTTTAACTGATAGAGAGAACCAAGACCTTCAGTGAACCCACAAAGCTGTTAGCAAGAACCCAACCCAAAGAGCTGTGCCTTCACCCCAAAGGTCACCAAAGCAACAGTGTCACCCTTAGGGTGGCTGATAACTGTGAAACCCTGCAGTGAACTGGCTATAGCCTGGTCAGGGTACAGGATAACCTCCACGGAGAAGCTCTTTAGGAGGAGCCAGACAAGTGGGACCACTCTGGAGAAACTTTCCTCTTCCTTGCAGACAGCCCCCATGATGAGCACAGGGCTTCTCTGGGCTCCACACAGCCTGTCCCATCAGGAGAGCCCTTCACTCACCCCATTTGCTTTGATTTTACACTCGGGGTTTTTCCAGTCCTTCTTGAAACAGCTGGTCTGCTGGAGCTTAAATTCCAACCTCACAAAGGTGCCAGCTGAGAAGACCTACAGATAGACAGAGAAGAAGGCCAGCAGGTAATTCCTGGTGTCACTCTTCTCCCCCAAACACCACAACTTAGAACTGGCACAGCCTAGGAGGATGGCTGGCTGGTGGCCTTTCCCAGGAGAGGTTTCTGGGAATTCACTGGTCTCCAGGGCTTCAGTCCTTCATTCCCTACCCAGTCACTAACCATGTCGTTAGCGTTGTCCACACCGATCTCTTGGAAGGCCCACTGCACAGGTGGGTGTTTGTGGAACTCCTCCAGGGCCACCTGCAGGCCCCTGCGCTGTGTCTCACTGAGCTCGAGCTCTGTCCCATGTATGCCCACCATGCCCAGCCATAGGGCCAGGGAGATTAGCAGGTACTTCATGGCTTCACGTTAGACCTTCTGGTCCTGCAAAGATGATGTGTGGTCTTCAGCTCCTAGAACTGGGGTGAGGGTGGGGGGCACCTTCTCCCCGGACCTGCTCCTGGGGCCATGAGAAGTGGCCCTTTCTGAATCTCTACTGGTAATCCAACTAGCCCTTCCCACTCTGCAAGGCCTCATTTTTGGATGCCAGCATAGTTTTAGAGTTCCCTGCCAACAGCCCCGGAAAAGAGTCCTGCTGGCTATGGCCACTTATAGCCTCCTTTCCGAGACATTTTCTCTTCCCTCCGGGTCTTCCATTCATCTCCCAAATCCCCAGCCTCTCTCTGGTACCTTGAAAAATAACAGGTTTGTTGCTTTAGCAAGGCCTTTCCCTGTGTAGTCTCTGGAGCAGCTGTCCCCCTCACCCTCTCATCTCCTTTTTCTCCTCTCTTGGTCCCCACAGCCCCGCCTTTCCCCACTGACCCTTCTCCCAGAGTCCGGAGTTTTGGAGTTTCCCGTTTCCCAAAGTCCCCTGACCTTCCTCTTGGATTGGGCCAAAGGAGGGGGAGGGCCGGGAGCACCAAGTGAGACAGGCTGCAGGCTGAATATTTTTCAGAAGACGTAAATGTAGGAGGACATGCCAGCCCAGGGCGGGTGGGAACTGCAAAAAGCTTAACCCTCCCTGCACCAGGGCTGCAGCTGCCATTGTCAAAACCACTGTCCACGGGAGTGGGTGTCCCTCCACCCCTGCCCCAACCTGGCCCTGGGTTCTCTTTTATGTTTGTTTGTTTTTTGGAGACAGGGTTTCTCTGTATTGCTTTGGAGGTTGTCCTGGAACTCGCTCTGTAGACCAGGCTGGCCTCGAACTCACAGAAATCTGCCTGCCTCTACCTCCTGAGTGCTGGGATTAAAGTCGTGTGCCACCAACGCCCGGCTGGCCCTGGGTTCTCTAGGAGACAGATCTTCCCTCCTTTGCCTCCTCAGTCTAAGTCTATTATCTTTCAACACATGACTGGGGTCACCTGAGGGAGTGACTTTTGGAAGAACCCACTAGAAAGCCACTGATGGGGAAACTGAGGCTCCTTCAGTACCAAGGTAGCAGGTTTGTTGCTTCAGCTTATCTTGTGTGTCGAGTGAGAGAACTGCTGTGTCACTGGCTAGCTGCCTTCATCTGCCTTCCAGGCATCTCTCTCTTCTGCCTCTTTCCTGATGTCTCACTCACATAGGCCTAACTTTGGCTAGCATCAGTCTCTTCTTTGCAGAGGCTCCAAGTGGACCATCCCTCCTGCCTGCCTGCAGCTCCCCTCCTCAGCGCCCCCCTCCCCGATCTTCACATGTAGACCTGCTAGGCTGGATGTGTTTCCACCTACCTAGTGCCTGCCTCCCCCTGGACTGCCATCTGACCCTTGACCCTGATGCATCTCTCCAGCTAGACAGCCAAAGACTTGATCGAGTGCAGACATCATCACTACTTCCTGTCTGAGGATCTGAAGCCTTTCCAGATCTTAACTGGCCAGGTAAACCATTCCCCTGAGGGTTGAAGGACTGTTACGCTCTCTGAAGAAGTTTCTTTTAACCAGCCCCAGTTGCCCAGGGCTGCCCTTTCTTTCCAGGGTGCTGGAAATCTCTAGCAGAGACTCTCCTTCAGTAAATTCTTCCAGGGATGTGCCCTGAGAAGGGAGGGCTCTCCTGCAGGGTTGCCTTCCTTGTTGGCGTCTCATGTTGCTTTTCCTGGCCATTCCTGAGGTTCCAGCCTAAGTGAAATGACTTAAGGTCTCATATGGGCTGTTGGGGTGTTAGGAGCCTCCAGGTGGGACAGGTGGTCAACTGAAACTCACAAGGGCAGGAAAGACAAATGTCCAAATACTGATTCAGCTTCTGGGTACCTTGAGCAAATGGGAAAAGCCTGGGACTACATGTCATTAGCAGTCTCCATCAGTCCCTAAGGTCTGTTATCTGAGACCTTAGGGTCAAAGTGTGGGCCCTGACAGGCCTCTCAAGCTAGGCTCTGCTGTAAGTCCCCAATAACACAGACAAATAATAGTGAAAAAGGAAAAAGATTTATCTGATGTGGCCATTCTGGGAAGATGGCAAAGAACTACAGCGACCCCAGAGTCTGTCTTCTAGGCATTGACATAAAGTTTACATTACATTTAAAAAACGTTGATATTTTTGGGTATGAATGTTTTGCCTATACTACATGTGCATGCCTATTGTTCACAGAGGCCAGAAAAGGGCAGCTCATTACCTGGAACTAGTGTTACAGAAGATTGAGCCACCATGTCGATGCTGGGAATCAAATCTTGGTATCTGGAAGAGTATCCAATATATTTAACCACTGAGATCCTCTCCAACCCCTGGAATTCAGTTTTAAATAGATTTCAAGGGATGTGCATATTTAATAGTCTTGGTCAACATGTAGTCGGAATTTATCACACTTATCACTGAGCCACCAATGCCTCCTCTAGTTACACTTGTAAGATGGTCTAACAAGTTGCCAGAACTGTACGAAACCCTTCTGAGAGGTAAGTTCCTCCTGACTGACACCGAGTTCCAGCCTTTTTGTTCTTTCAACATGAGACTCTATAGCATTGCAGTCTTCTCTCCTCCCAGGATGGTTACAGTCCTGAGTCCTAACAAAGCCAGGCCCCTGAAACAAGATCTCACAAGGCTTCCCAATGTGTCAGACCATCTCTTTGTCTGAGAGATGGGGCACGGTCCCTTTGAGCTGTTGAGGATGGAATGGGAAATTTAGGGAAAGTGCCTGACTGGTAGAGTTAGGAATAAAGTTCTCTCTGTGCATGGTTCACACCTTGCCAGGATTCTTCATTTAGAGCTAAGGGCTTCCTTACCATGTGCTCTAAGCTTACCAGCAAGATCTTCAGCCCCAAGAACCCATCACTGGCATTTCAGTCTGCAGATATCAGTGAACAGAGGTAAAAGACGGTGATCAGGTTTTGCTTCTGTTGCTGTGAAAAAAACCTTGAGAAAAGCAACTTTGAGGGAGAGGGATTTTTATTCTGTTTGCAGTTCCAGGTGATAGTCCATCATTGTAGGGTAGTCAGGTAAGGACTTGAGCAGCTAGTCACACCCACAGTTGAGAACACAAAGGGAATGAATGTATGCACGCCCACTGCTCACTAGTTTTCTCTACTCATTTATGTGTCATTCAGGACCGGAACCCAGCTGGTGCCCACTTTCAGGCTGTGTCTTCTCACAATGAGTCAGAATCAAGACAATTCCCGGTATATACAGTCCCCCACTGAGACTCTTCCTGGGTGACTGTAAATTGTGTCATAGTGACAACTAAAACTCCACCACAAATGGCAACTGTTTCCAAAGAGCTTGGGCTCCAGGGTCAATATGCACACATGTGTGGCAATGCTGTGAGATGCCCTGGGAACTGGTAACCGGAAAAAACCTTCCATTATGGGACTTGAACTGAGAAAAATGGCAGCTCCGTCATCCTGCATGTGGAGGGGCATGAGAATAAGGGACAGTAATTCTAGGATGAGGGAGGGAGGCTGGGGGTAGGGTAGAGGGAGTGGATGATGGATGGACAGCTGTTGTGACCACACAGAATTCCCTCTAGTGGTCCTTGTGCCTGTGGTCTCTGTCCCAGCTAGAAGTGATCTGACCTTGATGCAAAGGTGACCACTTTGAAAACACCTTTCCATGTAAATTCACTGATTTTTTTAAAAAATCTCAATTCAATATAATAAATATACATTTAAAACATTACATTTTTGGTACTGGAGAGAGGGTTCAGTGGTTAAGAGTGCTGGCAGGCCTTCCAGAGGACCCGAGTTTAGCTCTCAGCACCTGTTTTTGTTACAGCTCATAACCACCTGTAACACTGGCTCCAGGTTCTGGGGCCTCTGACCTTCAAGGGCACTTGCACTCACAAACCCGGACACACAATTATAATCTTTAAAAAGTAAACTATTAACATCTCAGTCACACTAGCCATATATCAAGCTGGCCGACTCATATGTGGGCACTGGCTGCCTTATTGGATGGTGGATAATACAGAAAGAGTTATCAAGCATGTTAGTTAAAACTAAAAATGAATCATATATGTCTACTGTATGTGTAGACACATGGGATCGTTCTCGAAAGAAACTTCTCATAGTGATTGCACGTGAGGGAAGGAAACTGTACCTTTTTTTTTTTTTTTAATTTTCTCAGCCTGTGGGTAATTTGTCTTTTAGAATCTAACAGTGATTCTAAAAGCTTTAAAAAGTTACCCACTGGCACCACACACACACACACACACACACACACACACACACACACACACACACAGTGCCATTGGGATGTTCTTGTATTGAGTAGAGTGGAGGGGAATGTTTCTTTATAGGAGTCAACTGCAATTGTCTGGATGAGAGGAATGTAATGTGGCTAGGACAAGATGAGGGCTGAGATAAAGGAAAAACAGTAGAAACACTGGAATCCCCCGTGTATAAAGCGTCAGGGGTGAGAAAAGGCTCACCATCTCTGTCCACCTAGAGCTCCCTTGTAATCCACCATGGTTTAACAGATTGTTGTAACCAAGTCCAAGGACTCTGGGGCTGGTGAGTCCTCTTGGGACTCTATGGCAGCTGAACAGAGGTTGGTAGCAGTGACTCCCTGTGTTTTCTGTTCTCTGAAATGCTTGATATGCAGCTGGCAACTGCTGTCCTAGCACTGTGTATTGAGTGTCTGCTGCCCCTTTTCACGCCTGAGACCCTAACCTATTGGAATCATTTGCTCAGGTTGGTTTTGCTATAGCCAAGTTGTAGCCTACTGAGCTTCTAGTAGCTTCTAACCCAGTGGCTCTCAGCCTTCCTAATGCTGAGACATTAATATAGCTTCTCATGCTGTGGTGTCCCCAACCACAAAATTATCTTATTGCTACTTCATAACTGCAATTTTGCTACTGTTATGAACTGTAATATAAATATCTGATATGGGATCCCCAAAGGGGTTTCGACCCACAGGCTAAGAACCCTTGTGAAAGGGACACTAGGATAGCAGGACACACAGCCAGAATTTAGCCCATCCTACAGGGATCTTAGCTTGTTCAAAAGCTTCTTGAGCCTTTCTGTCCCAGCCCCACATGGCCTCCTCCTTTGTCAAGTGCTTTCTAAACCCACAGAATGCTCGGAGGTTAGCATTATGTCACAATTAACTCTTTACAAGGTTGTGTGTCAAATTCCTGAGGCAGCTTAAAGGGACAGGAGACATAAGAGACAGGAGTCTGACCAACAGACAGGACTGTTTTTATTAGCACACAGTGTGAAGGGTAGCTTTTCTCTTGCAAGAAATGGAGGTGATCTGTCCAGGGAAGACTTGAGAATAGGGAAATTGTTGTAGCCATGGGAGCTACGTGCATTTCTACAGTCTGTCTTTCCTGAATTGTATGATTCAAGCAAGATAGATTATCTTGCGGGATAGTTTATCTCTGTAAACAATATTTTCTGGGATTTCTGGGAGCAAAATCATCTTTAATGTTGTAGGAATCCTGTTTTACCACCAAGACACTGTATCAATCCAAACTCATAAGGGTATAAAGAACGGGAGGGGTAGGAGTGTTGATCCTTTTTCAGCTTCCTGCTAAGGAGGGTCATTTTCAGGAGGGGATAGTTCAGGATCCATTGAAGAGGGGTCCTCTGGTCACTTAGCAGGAGGAGAGTTTTAACTTAATCTGTTAGACCCCCGGAAAAACTCAGGTATCCGGGGTCCCAGGCCACGACCGCGGTCACCCCAATCACAAGGCAGATTCGAGAGCTTGATGCAAACTGCATGAGGCTTTATTGTTTTTTAATGAGCTAACCCCATGTTAGGTCAGGTCTTTCATCCACCTGCCATGGCAGATGGCTGGCAAAGACAGCTCAAACTGGCTGCCGAGTGACCTTGTAGGGCAGCGTAAGAGGAGTGGGGTACGCACAGGCTCAGGATTGGTGTGCCTCCAGCCTTGGAGGGCTTGCCCTGTGTTGATTGGCCAGCTGGTTGTTATGGTGCATAGGCCCTCCCAGGGTGGTTGCTAGGCTCTGCACATCATTGCTGTGCACTTGTCTGTAAAGCACACCCAGAGCCGTAAAGCATAGCGCCACCAGCTAACTTCTGATTGGTTCCTTGTCACGAGGCAAGGATCCGACTTTCTAGTGACTAGGACAAGGTCATAGCAAGCACATGTTACTGTCATGGCTGCCGAAATGGGGGGCTGGTCCCTTCAATCATACAATTGACATTTTTATTAAGGGAAGAAAACTGAATTCTCTGGAGCCTGCAAAGAAGGGGCACATGCAAGCATGCTTGCTCGTGCACACACACACACACACAGACACACACAC